CGGGAGGAAGGAAACTGCCCAGAGCTCCAGCATGCAAAGGGCCCCACACTTTTGGTTGACACGGAGCCGGGGTCGCATCATTTCAGCAGGCCTGGGGGAGCTCCTATTTGGCGCGTGACGGGTTGGCGAACGAGCCCGCGCGAAAGCGGGGCTGGACGACCCCCGTTTTTTTAATTATTTTGCTTTTTGTTTATTTTCTGCTTTTATTAATATTTTCTTCAAAATAATTCAGAATTTTTATAATTTCCAAATTTAATAAATTAAGTTTTGAAAAAATGTTACAGAAATCTCAAAATGTACGTGGTTAATGTTCCTGATTTTAAAAAATTGTTCATGTAAAAAATGTTCGCAAATTTGAACGAAAGTTTCATGAATTCAACAAATATTTATGAATTTTTAAAAAATGCTCATTGAGTCAGGAATGTTTGTGATTTCAAAAAAAATGTTTGTGTCGTAAAAAAATGTTCATAGTTTTTCAAAAATGTTCTAAAACTTTAAAATTTGTTCCCAAAAATTTGAAAAAGTTCACAAAATTCAAAAATATTTCAGATTCAAAAATTATTTATGAATTAAAAAAATGTCCTTTGAAAATAAAATTGGTTTAAAATTTGTTCCCGAATTTATAAAATATTCGTCTATGCAAAAAACTTATTCATGTGTACATAATTTCAAAAAGTGATCATGAATTCGAAAAATGTTCATTAATTTTGAAAATGTGATGAACATTTTTTGAACTCGATGAAAAACTTTGAATTCTAAATATGTTCGGGAAAATGTTCATGATTTGAAAAAATGTTCTTGTTCGCAATTTCAAAAATATTTTGAATTCGATGAACAAATTTGGAATTCATAAAATGTTCACCTGATTTGAAAAAATGTTGACTCATTTGATTAAAAATCCCGGATTTGACAAAATCATCATGAAATTTCGAAAAGAAAGGATAGAGAAATTTAAAAAAAAAGAAAAAGGGGGAAAGAAAATAAAGATCACGAAAAAAATAAGAAAAATTAAAATGAAATGAAGAATGAAGGACACGGGAGGTTTTGAAGTGCGCAGTTAGATGATGTAGGCAGAGGTAATCAACTGTACTGTATGTTGCAAACGCACAAGGCAGAGAACTGGGTGGCTCAGAATTGCACGCATGCATGAAATGAAATCTGTCCATCTTGCTGCTTGACATGGAAACTGAGACGTGTACGCAAACGCAGCAGGCCCCGCTAGCTTGTAACCAGGCCCGTGGATGCAGACGCAGACGCAGACGCGCGCAAACAATTGAAGCGCATGGACGATGATCGTCTCCTGTCTGCACTGCATTCCCGTGGATCTGAATATTCCTTGCCCGTTCGCACAGGCCGGCTGGTGGTGTCCAAGTGTAAGCACAGTTAATCAACCAACCAGATCATCGTCACAATGCAGAGGAAATCAATTAGATCATGTAAGCAGAGCAGAGTCAAACAACTGTATTTGAAGATGCCCCTAAAAACAAAAACTGTATTTGAAGATGCACAATGCACATCAAGCTCGATCGTTGGCTCTGAATTGCACGTGTGTATGGTTTGGAATCTGCCTTGGTCCCTCCCTGGATGCTGCAGGAACACAAACAATTGATCAAGCCCTAGTGGACGATGGTGATGATGATTTTTCGCAATTTGCAATTGGTCTGAATCGTACGTATTCGATCTATCTACTCGCCACCGGCCGGCCGGTGGCGAGCAAGAGCAACCATGTCCATGTGATGCGACAAGAAGGAAGTCAATTGCTAAGTTTTGACACAGCTAGCTAGCTAGCTAACGATTCTTAATAAGCCTTACGTACATAGAATACGTGAGAACACGTTTGTTTTTTTTTAAATTTTAGCGTATGTATATGTAGTAGGTAGCTAACCATGTGTGGCTGTCCTTGCCAAGCGAGAACGACGGTGCCGTCCAAAACTTGTTTTGGAAGCGGGCTAGCCCCCTTTCCATCCCATTACTTGCATTGCTTGGCGTAATTACAGAGTACCCCCTCTTACAAGCAGCAGCAACATGAAAAAGGAAAAGAAATGTAGTACTCCCTCCATCCCAGAATATGACATGTTATTACAACCAGAGTAGGCATGTTGGCAATGAATCGCAGCTTGACTTGACTTGCAATTGAAAAATGATCGGGATACAGCATGCATCCCGAAAGGCTCGCTCACTCCAGAATTAGAGAAGATTCACCTGGCTGGCAGGCAGACCGTCGCCCATTTCCCACCCTTCTTCCTCCGCGCGCGCGCGCCAGTTGGCCTTGCGTGCTTCCATCCCCATGCCATGATCCCACCGCCATAGTGCCTCGCACGTCGTTCGTTGACGCAATGCCGCTTCCCCCTCCCCCTCCCGCCGCGTGCTCCAGCGGCCCACGATTGATCTGTTGACGCATATATCCGTCCATACACCGGAGCTCTGTCCTATCCTACGTGCGCGGGCGCTTGATCCGCCGATCGCTGCCCACCCCAGGGTTGGCCGGCGGGAGGGAGCAATCGATCGATCGATCGTTCCATCTGCAATGACGACGGCGCGGCAGTGGTGGAGGCGCGCGGCCGCGGCGGCCAAGGACAAGAAGAGCCTGTGCCTGACGCGCGCCGCGGGGGCGCTGCGCTCGCCGGCCAGGGTCAGGGGCGGCGCGGCGGAGCTGGACGCGGCGGTCATCCGCGCCACCAGCCACGACGACCGCTTCGTGGACCGCGGCGCCGCGGCGCGGGTGCTGGACCTTGCGCGCGCCTCCTCGCCGTCGCCGCTCGTGTGGGCGCTGGCGCACCGCGCGGGCCGGACGCGCTGCTGGGCCGTGGCGCTCAAGGCGCTCATGCTCGCGCACCGCCTGCTCCTCCTCGCGCAGCCCCGCGCCAGAGGCCGCGTGCCGTTCGACCTCGCCGACTTCCGGGACCGCTCCTCGGCCGGCTTCTCCGCCCTCGTGCGCGCCTACTTCCGCTTCCTCGACGCCCGCTCCCTCTTCGCCGCCGAGGAAGACGACGGCGCCGGCGCCAACGGCGACGAGGACGAGGACGACGAGGAGACGCGCCTGCTGGACCGCCTGTCCAGGCGGCAGCACCTGCTCGACCTGCTCATGCAGATTCGGCCCTACGGGGACGGCATGGAGCGGCAGAGCCTCGTCCTCGACGCCATGGAATGCGCGGTCGTCGAGATCTTCGACGTGTACGGCCAAGTACGCGCCGGCATCGCTGAGTACCTCGTCGCCGTCGGGGGCTCGACGCCGACCACGCCGACGCCGAGGCCTCGGCCGGGAGAGACCGTGGCGACGGCGAGGCGGCGCAGGGCCATGCAGGGAGTGCGGGTGCTGCGGAAGGAGACGGAGCAGAGCGCACTGGTATCGTCCTACTTCGAGCTCTGCCGGACCCTCGGCGTGCTCAGCGCCGCCGAGTTCCCGGCCGTGGAGCGCGTCCCGGACCACGACATCAGGGACCTCGAGAAGCTCATTATGGCCCACGTCGAAGACGGCGGCTGCATGGTGGAGCAGGACAACGAACCGAAGGCGTTGGTGGGCCCCATGGAGGACGCCGGCGTGGCGTCGACGACGGTGGCCATGAAAGAGTGGATGGTGTTCGACGACGATGCGGGTACCGGACTTAGGCAAGGGCAATTTGGTGATTACGTCAACCCGTTCCTAACCAACTTGACGGAGTTTGGCGAGACGTGACGGCGAGCGTCAACTTGTGAAAGAATGAGTTTTTGTGAATACTATTTTTTTCAGAGGACAGATTATTCACATTTCATTTGATGATTAGAAACAAATCGAAAGCTAAGCAGTGGTGACTAAAGACCACGAGTGCAAATAGGTCAATCATGAAGCAATTGTTGTGAGTACATGTGATTGCTGCACGGTTAGATTGAGAAAAAAACATGCAAGCATTCCCTAACCAATCACCCTTTAGCATATTTTCATTTTGCTCTATGTATCAACGGTTTGAAAATGAGACAATTGCGTTTTCGATTTAGATTTATGTGGAGGGCAAACATCGCCTTGAAGATCAAGCTATTTCTGCGACCGAGCCGGACCGGTCCGAGTCAGCACGCAGGCACGTCCGATTGGCTGCTGTGGCACCTCACAATCACCCTTTAGGGATCCTATGTTACGTCTCTTTGTGTGTGTCGCGCTCTCCTCGTTCTACGCTCACCCCAAGATCTATCGTCGATAACCAACAATGGCCCCCATTTGCCCCCTACCCGGATCACCCCCCTGACCCCATCGCTGCCCCGATACATCCTAGTCCATCTGCCATACACCTCGCCCACCACAAGTTTGACAAAATGTCCGGAGTGTTTTTTGACCTTTTTGTTGCACATTTCTTAGGAGACGCGATGGAGTCGTTGGATGATGAGTTTGTTTCCCTACATTATAAATTTATTTAAATGGAGTTCTTCATTTCGTCGGCATCGTGTCTGATGATGGTGACTACAATTCGGTGATGATGATGATGATTATGATGATGATGATGACGATGAGCATCCTCGAAGCAATGGAGTAGGAAGAGAAGTATGTTCTCAACTTTAGGGGTTTGATGTCGGGCATGATAACTGTTACCTGGAATAGGATAAAGGGTCATATTGATGTTTACAGTAACTACTTCAAAGCCAACCCAGTATATCATGAGGGGTTCTTTCGGCGTAACTACCGGATGTGCAGGCATTTGTTCTTCCACATAATGGACGGTGCAAAGAAATATAATCCTTAATTTACATTGAGGAATGATTGCACTGTAGCATTGTCATTCTCTCCTCTCCAGAAATGCACTGCTCCTATCAGGAAGCTTGGATATGGTACAGCTGCAGATGCCATTGATGAGTATGTTCGGATAGAAGAGGGCACATGCATTGACGCAATTATGAGATTTGCCTCTGCTTTAGTGAATGTGTTTGAACCAGAGTACTTGAGATAACCAAATACCAAGGGCACAGAAAATCTTCTGGCAATTGGAGCAACAATAGGCTTTTTCGGCATGCTTAGTTTAGTCGACTACATGCATTGTCGATGGAAAAACTATCCGGTAGGTTTAGCACGGCAATACCAAGGTCACACCGAAGAGCCCACCATCATACTTGAAGCAGTGTAATCAAAAGACTTGTGGATTTAACACTCTTTATTTGGCATGCCAGGATCTCGCACGTGCTTTAGGGATCCCCATTGTTTAAAATACTTTGTGATGGGGAGGATCAAGAGTGCAACTAACCGTCAACGGTCACAACTACACCATGCGGTAGTACCTTTATTGATAGTATCTATCCTTAGTGCGCGACAATTGTGAATACTATCTCCAAGACCAAGGTAAAAAAGAACTCTCCTTACCCAAATGCAAGATGGTGCTAGGAAGAATGTGGAGAGGGCATTTGGAGTTCTCCAAGATCATTGGGCTATTGTTTGTGGGACTGCAAATTTGTGGGATCCCGAGACATTGGGAGAGGTGATGACATGTTGTGTGATCTTTCATAACAAGATTGTGAAGGACGAGAGAGTGAGGTTGTTCGCAATGTTCATGCTTTTGACAAGCTAGGAGAAAATGTTCGTCTCCCGAAACAAGAGGCACAACATTGTTGTAGATTTCCTAGATATGCATCGACAACTTCGAGATCGAAAGATTCATGTACAACTACTCAATGATCTTGTATAACATTTGTGATCCATCAATGACTCGATCCCCAGTTATCCATGTTTCGCGGATATATGGGGGCCAAATTGGTTATTTGCCCCTAGAGATACTATTACACACCATGACTTATTGGTTTGTTTTTTCTCCATATTATGTGGATTGAAAGCATGATATCCAGTTACCTTTCATTTGTGTATGTACACAATCAGCGTCCAACTTGTACAATGAATTTTACTCTCATGCAAATTAGCCTTTGTACAACTAAATTCCAATCATTTAATTTCAATTGCTAGGACACACAGATAATGAAATTAAGAACTACTGGAACACAAGAAGCAAAAGGCTTATGAAAAGTAGTCTCTATCCAGATTATTTGTTATCTTCACCGGCAAACATGGAGTGTCATAGTCCCGACGATTTAGGTGGCAAAAAACGACCAAATGAGCTCTCATAGGGAAATGGGCCACCAATATTAGATGGAAATTTCTCTACATATAAGATTGTACAATGATCCATGAAGTCAATCGAAGGTTAGATGTGAGTAATACAAATTGTGTCATGAGGTTTCAATCTGACTAATAAAGTGCCCAAGTAATTCAAAACATCTTGAATTTTTCACCAGTTGACATATTTTATTTGAATAACAAAGGAAAAAAATCTCAATTATTTATGTTAATATATCATATAACTACGAAACATACATATTACCAAGTATATATCATATCCTTCTACCTTCGCTCTCATATATGAATGGTAATAAGGAAAAATAACTCTATTAGGTGAATTAATCATCCTTAGATTAGACATATATTGTGTTGTATAGATGTGTTAGTCATCTTTTTGGTTGGCTTTAAGTAACTAGATGGTGTACAACTTACTATAGGAGTTACAACCATATTGATGTTTGCATTGGTGCAATATTATACATTAAATTTGAAAGTGGATGGTAGAAAATGATGACATGACACTCTCTTATGCATTTGCACTGAACTTTAATATCTTGGCACACTAATAAATATCATGCCTGAAAATTCTAGATTCCATTAATCTAGGTTAGTGTAACTTAGTAGAATGCTTTAGATTGTACAACTACCTCACTCAGATCAAATTGTACCCGACTAAAAGATATTAGATCAAGAAGAAAAAAAATAGTGATATGCCAATCTGTGTTGTTTCATTTTGCACCAACATTAAAATATCCACTAAATTACTAGCCTAATTAATACTATATTCAAGGGAAATGATAATGTGCTCTTTGTTGTGCAACAGTCTATATGTGCACCTACCTAGGTGGTTTGCTTGACCTCACCTCTGTTTCCTATTCTTACTCCTTTATCTTCTTCTTCCCCACCTCCCACGGCAGTTGTGACGCCAATGATAAGGGGGTTCAAGTTAGTGTTCACTTGGAATAGGATCCGTCGGTCCACCACACCTGATACATGGAGAAAAAGTGTAGCATGACAATGGGAAATGGCGTTAGGAAGGAGATGATGGAGCGTTTGTTTGTGGAACATATTAGTCGAAGGTGGCACAGTGAGAAGGTGCACTTTAAGTAATTGTATGAGTGGGGAGGAGGTGTGGTCATGTAGAGGTGAAGTAGTGTGGCAATGTAACAGAGAGCCGAGACAACTGAGGGGAAGACTTTCAGTGTTGGTGTGGAAAGAGGGGGGATGCAGGTCTACATGGAGCTCATTCTAGTGAGGCTATATTGTTGGAGAAGACACACTTAGGCCCCGTTCAGAACTCATGTGGCTTCTTCAAATCCTCTAATCTAGCTTACTCCCATTGATGCTAGCTTCTCATGCGGATGATCGTTCGATAGTGTGAGGCCTTCGCTTCATGGGGCTGGCTTCGTGGAGTTGGGGTGTTTGGCCTAGCTCAGCACTCGTGAAGGAAATATGCCCTAGAGGCAATAATAAAGTTGTTATTTTATATTTCCTTATTAATGATAATTTTTTATTATTCATGCTACAATTACATTGATCAGAATACATGTATGAATACATAAACAAATATAGTGTCCCTAGTAAGCCTCTACTAGAATAGCTCTTTGATCAAAGATGGTTAAAGTTTCCTAACCATGGACATGTGTTGTCATTTGATAACGAGATCACATCATTAGGAGAATGATGTGATGGACAAGACCCACCCGTTAGCTTAGCATAATGATCCTTCAGTTTTATTGCTATTGCTTTCTTCATGTCAAATACATATTCCTTTGACTATGAGATTATGCAACTCCCGGATACCGGAGGAATGCCTTGTGTGCTATCAAATGTCACAACGTAACTGGGTGATTATAAAGATGCTCTACAGGTATCTACGAAGTGTTTGTTGAGTTGGCATAGATCGAGATTAGGATTTGTCACTTCGAGTATCGGAGAGGTATCTCTGGGCCCTCTCGATAATACACATCATAAGCTTGCAAGCAAACGACGAAGGAGTTAGTCACGAGGTGATGTATTACGGAAGGAGTAAAGAGACTTGCTAGTAACGATATTGAACTAGGCACGAAGCTACCGATGATCGAATCTCGGGCAAGTAACATACAGATAACAAAGGGAATAATGTATGTTGTCATAACGGTTCGACCTACAAAAGATCTTCGTAGATTATGTGAGAGCCAATATGAGCATCCAGGTTCCGCTATTTTTTATTGACCGGAGAGGTGTCTCGGTCATGTCTACATAGTTCTCGAACCCATAGGGTCCGCACGCTTAATGTTCGATGACGATATTGTATTATATGAGTTATGTGATTTGGTGAACGAATGTTGTTCAGACTCCCAGATGAAATCACAGACATGACGAGGAGTCTCGAAATGGTCAAGAGGTAAAAATTGATATATAGGATGATAGTATTCGGACACCGGAAGTGTTCCAGAGTGTACCGGGTACATATCGGAGTACCGGAGGGGTTACCGGAACCCCCCGGGGAAAGATATGGGCCATAAGAGGGGAGCACACTAGCCCACAAGGGGTGCCCCCCCAAGGAAGGAGGCCCTTTGCGTGGAAGGCAAGCTTGGCAATCCGTATATGTGGATCTCCCTCTC